GATGGGCTAAATGGGTAAGGGGCACTAAGGAATCTACTCCTAAAAACATTGTTGCACTATATGCTAATTTGGATGTAAATTAAAAAAAAAGTAAATTAAAAATAAAGAAAAAATAAGCTATATTCTTATTATGCAACTAAGTGTTTTATGGAAAGATTAAATGTACATATGGGAAACATTCTATGAAAATATGTTTCCAACCTCAGTGGTAGAATTGGAAAACACAATTAGAGTGACTGTTAGATGCTAAAATAATGTATCACCTTTATGCTGTGTTTTTAAAGGTGTTATTCCTAATGGAGCTGCATTTTTGCCACATGTTGTATAAATAAGTTGTTTCTTGTTATTCTTTAGGAGCTAAGTATGCTCCTAATTCCAGATGCATCCATTACACTTCATAAAAACAATTCAGGTATTTAAAAATAATAATAATAAAATAAAAAAGTAAAATCAAATCAAATGTGGTTCTGCACTGCGCTCCATCACTTGCCAGCAGGAGGCTGAGACTTGTTCAGTGAGGAAGTCCAACTTTTGCTGGACTTGCTTATGGCCCCAGGCCCAGAGCTGAATGTGAGTTGCCTCTAAGAGTCAAAGATTCCTCACGGGAAAAGCCAGAATAAGCTAGAAACATTAGAAAACATGTTCCTTGCTTAAATAGGAGAGGTTTAATCTTCTCCTTTTTATTTTTGCTCACCTTTCCCTCTTTCCAGCTAAACTAAGGGGCAACATTGACACTGGCCCCAGGGAAGAGGTGCTACCTGTCCTGTAAACCGATAGTCAAGGTGCTGGTGCTAGCTTTGGGCTGGGAGTTCTTATCTGTCACTAAGAGAAGACAAAGATTGAAAAGGAAGACGAATGGGCAGTAATGAGTAGCCTGCCACTCTTAGAGCAAATCCCACTCACTCCCCTTCCTGCCGAGGCTCTCCAAGGATGTAGAAGCACAAACTGGACGCCATCACACAGATTTATCCCAGCTGCTTCCTCCTCTGTCTCGAGTGTGCTTTCCTCACTCAGGATCAGGGGCAATGAAGGTACAGTAATAGGAAGTGATTTAAGGGGGTAGTGAGAAGAAAAGACAAAATAACTCTGCCTCCCTGAGTTCTTTTTTTTTTTTTTTCAATGTTTATTTATTTTTGGGACAGAGAGAGACAGAGCATGAACGGGGGAGGGGCAGAGAGAGAGGGAGACACAGAATCGGAAACAGGCTCCAGGCTCCGAGCCATCAGCCCAGAGCCTGACGCGGGGCTCGAACTCACGGACCGCGAGATCGTGACCTGGCTGAAGTCGGACGCTTAACCGACTGCGCCACCCAGGCGCCCCCTGCCTCCCTGAGTTCTAACTGGGCAGTTTTCTGCAAGTGGCTTTCCAGGCATTTTAATGGGAAGTTTCATCATCCGGCGTTTGCTTTCAGTCTGTTCTACACCATGGTTGTTATTGTTTATTTTATTTTTTTCTGATTGCGGCTTTGCCTTTGAAGATGGCCAACAGCAGAGCAGGAATAATCCTCAAGTTTTGTCCTTAGTACTCTCAGCAACACCCCTTTCTCACTGCCAAGCCACAGAGACCTAGATACTGCTGCTGCTCCAGAGAGACTCGGCGCTTCATGAAGGTGCTCTGTGTCCGGATCTGCCACGATGGCCATGAACACTGGTTCCGGACCTCCTCCTTTACAGTGCTGCTAAGTAACTATCTCATCGTTTTGGACGTTTCACTTTCCTTAAGCTCCCAGATATTTGACTAAACACATCAGAGCCACCTAAGTAACTGTTTTCACCCACTTGTCCTTCCTTCTCCAACTGTCTCTGAGGAACACCCATTTGGTTTCCCAGCCCAGGGTAAGTGTCATGCCCTTGACGCCACCATATCCTTCCCTGACCTCTAGGTGGATGGTCTAGGAATTGCCTCCTTTAGCTATTAAAAGTCTCTCCTCTTCTGGATCCTTCCCCTTTGGTCGCAGTAATGAACAACCCTCTCTAGGCTGAGCACAGCACGTGGCACATAGCATGTCCTCATGTAAGATGTGTGCTCAAGTAATATCTTATTAAATAAGATATAGGCAGTGCCCCCAGCCCTGCAAGGGCAGGGCAACGATGTTACACAATTCCAGGAGGCACGAGCATATTCTATTCTGTGTGAACGGCACCCCCTCAAATTATATGCTGAAATAGCATTGTCCTTTTCTAAAACAATTGTCACAGAATTTGTGTAATATTTTTAAAACATGACCCTATAAGAATGAGTACCTCCCGAAAAGCGGATTACTTAGAAATAAGTCCATTTCTATCCAAGAATTTTTCAAAATAGGAATGGGATGCATTATGAAAGTTTTGCCTCCAGATTGAAGGAGGGAGGACAATAAAATCCACACGTAGATATTTTATCACTTTATTACAGCTCTAAGGCTGTTCATTCTCTAAAAGAAAACATGTTTGAAGGAATAGCAAAATTTTTATTAAAAGCCTGTGTGGGTATGAAAAGAAAAAAAAAAGTAGCTTTAAAAGAAAAAAAAAGTGAATTTTTAAAAGAAAGTATTCCCAAACCAAATGATCCAAACACCAATACGACACGTTTGATTTGGGAGTTCTTTGCCAAGACTTGTCTCCCTGCATAGATAAACCAAGTAAATTCCCTGCACCAAATCTTTAGAGTTGCCATTTTCAGAGCTTCAGGAATCACGAAAGAACCTAGATGTGCAACGGAGCAGGATCTTAGCCTAAGCCCTTTGCCAAAACATATAAATACTTCTAGACACTCTTTGTACATTCACAAGAAACCTACATAAATCTAACTTTTAGAGAATGCCTCCTTTAGATACGGTTACTTGGATATGATTTACAGACTGAGTAGTTCCATTTAATGGGCAGAGACTAAACAGATTTTAAGCAAATGAAAGTTTGACGTAATAAAAAAAAAAGAACATGGAAGGAATTTAAGGCCCCACACCTACATGTCTATAGAAAAAACAATTTCCTTATTCTTGAGCCGTATAACTATCCTGAGCTAAAGGCGGATCTTGTTTGAGTAGAGAAGTGAGTCTTTCAGCCGGTCATTTGCCAACCCAGTGGGTAAGTTGTACCAACAATAACCAGGGCATGCCAAATGTGTTGTCCTTCATTGAATCGGATCCAAGTAGTTGCCACTCCATATAATTCAGTCTTGACAGAATTTGTGCAGCTACCCAAATCCTAAATCAGAGACCATTTAAGAAAGACTAGCCATTGCTGAAAATTTAATGACTTCCTATTGCCTTCCTGATAAAGCACAAAATTCTTAGCCTAAAAATAAAATATTTACTTGAATTTGTGTTTACTTCTACAGCTTCATTTCTTGACAATCTTCCCAGATCTGAGTGTGTACGTACATGATACGCACACATACATACACACACTGTACTCTACTCTCCAACCACACTGAGCTCTGTGCAATACTGGAAATGCCCCGCCTTCTCTTCATCACCACACCTTTGTGCATGCTGTTCTCTGCTTGCAGTAGCTTTCCTCTCCTCATGCACCTGGTTAATTTCTATCTCTCATTTGAGGCTCAGCCCTGATGGTGCCTCCCCCAGGAAGCTTTCCCCAACCCTCCAAGTCTGGCTTAGTTATCTATTCTTTGTAAATACTCTCATCAGGCTCTGCAAATACCTCCATTATTGCATGTATTACAGTTTCTTATTTGGTGATATTTTCTTCCACTGAACTATAAACTCTTTGAGGATAAGAACCTTAAACCTGGCTCAGTGAAAATGTGCTGGCTAAACAAACACTGGGTATTAACTCATTCCTCTCCTGATCATCCTTATAATTTCTTTCACTGCTGTCCATGTGAACAGGTTAAAAGAAGAGCTAAGTGACAACTATTAAATAAATAAAAAATACTGTAGATAGCATAGTACTTAAATTCCAACCTATATGATCCTTCCTTTACGTTTATGCCTTGACAATTTGAAAAGAACTGGAAAATCTGCTAAGCCAATGCACACAATTCAGTGCAAATTATATTCAGATTATGGGAACATTCAGAAAAAGGTGTTGCTCATTTGGAAAGGTTTGATAAAAGTTCTCAGGTTTTTATGAAACTAACGGACATAGAAGATAGGGAAATAGACACAGGATAGTAGGATATAGATAGACAGAAGGGATAATAAGGGGGAAAAAAACAACCTTGTTTGATTTTGTTGCATAGAAAAGAATGCCTTGGTAAGGAATCTACTGTGCTAACAACCTCGGGCAGGTCCTTACCCTCTGGCCTGGAGAGCCATCACGTCCTGGTGAACCAATGCCTCCTGGAATACCCTAGGTAGAGCAAGGACCAAAGAAAGTCAGAGTCACGGAAATTGGCAATCAACTGCCTTTCCACCCAGCTTCCCTGAAATAGAGTAAGGCCTCCAAACACACCTAATAGCATAAAGGCAAATGAAGAACCCTGAAGTTATTTATGGGAAAGAAATGCCCCCCCCCCCCGGGCTTGTCCTCAAGAGCATTAGTATGATGCTCAGTGGGGGCTAACATAAATGAATGCAGGCTAACAGTCTTTAATATAGAAACCACCTATTGCTAAAATCAAAGCTGACTTCAGAAGCGACAGCCTTTATTTTGCCCCTTTGCAATGCTCTAGACCTAAGAGCATTTTTTAGCAGATGACGATAATAATAATAATAATAATAACAACAGTAATAATACCTGTGGACCAGGAAGGCCAGTTTCTCCTTTTTCTCCTTTGGCACCGGGCATTCCCTGAATATCCAAAATTACACAGGGTTAAGTTCACATAAGGTAAGTTCTTAGTCTCTTCATCTTCTCCACGGACTGTTCTAACGTTTTTACCACTAACTTGCTTTGATGTTAGCATCCAATACAGCATGTTTCACTTCTCACATCCACTACCCCATGTATGTAAGCATTCCTATGGAGTTGAACGTTTATACAGCAGAGCAGTTCAAATACAGAACATACAGTCTGCTACGGTTAAACCCATCCTGGAGATAGGTGGAGGAGAGATTGGACAGTTCAATACCATTTATGGTTTAGATTTTTAAAGTTCGTATCTATAGAGTTTTGGCTTCGTTTTGGCTAGAAATTTATAAAAATGGAGAAGCAAACATAGACTCTGGCACATAGCAAGACCTTACCAAAGGCTTAGTAGTAGTAGTAATTACATATCTGGCATGCTAATGCTTTCTAACATGTGAAAATAACCCTGGAGCAGAAAACTTCTCAGCTAGGGAGATACAATCGTATGCCCAGAAAGATTGTGAAACGTGTGCTTAAAAGGCTTGTTGGCTTCAAATATTAATTTTAATTAATAGAAGTTGGTTTTATTCTTTAAACCTAGATCCTAGCAAGATTAATGAAAACCAGTAAGTTGCATTAAATTTGCTTTCAGTGATACGAACAGCTTTTACAAAGTGCCTATATAAAGTACACTGTCTATAATCTAAAACTTCGACTAAGTGCGTTGTACTTTGATGCCCACTGAGATAAAAATCATAAGTAAATGATGAATCTGTATCCATGATTACTACAAAGACATAATGAACAACCTAAATTTGTGTAGCATTTGTTACTTTCTAGATTTTATTACATCTGTTAAGGACTTGATCCAACACGAAAAAGGACAATACATGTCACAGCCCTGATTCTCTTCTATAGAGAAATTGCTTATGGATATGCTTACTCTGAGTGGAGGCATCTATTTGTAAAAGACACTCGTCATTTAACAACAATAACAACAAAACTGGCTGATGAATGAACTCTCAGTAACTACTTCCATTTCTCAATTTTTATTTTTAGGAGTAGGAAGGAACTGAGGCTCATTATAAAGGGTATAGAAGACAAAAGTTCATCTGTGACTCATGAAAAAGTGATCACAATACAATCCACCCAAATGTCTACACACAACTCACAGGCATTCCCTGAATGGACAGACCACTTGGTCCTTGGGGTCCAGGGGGACCCTGAGGTCCCGGAAGGCCTATTTCACCCCGAGGGCCCTCTGGTCCCTGGAACACAAGAGAAAAAAGTCATTCCAGAGGTAAGTTAGATTCTCAGTACTCAAAAGATATTTCTGCTTAGAGCACTTATGATTTATTTCCTTAAATAAATTTCCCTAAGACACAGGACACTGATAGGATGGCAAGACAACATGCTTCAAAGGGTGCACCTCCCAGGTAAGATGTCACCAGGAAACCAAAAGAGTAAACACACAGGGGTTGCTGCAACTTTAATTGTTTGCTTCCATAAATAAGAAAGCTGTGCCAACTATGTGAGTAACTAGACCCCCCATACTCCATAACAAATCCAAAAGACAAAAGTGTTTCAAGACCACCCTCCTGGTCTGTGCAGGTTCATACCATCTAGCTGACCTACATTCTCTCCACCTCCACAGCTGTCAGCCACTCATCTCAGGGGCACGCCTGCACTACTGAAGACTTTGCACCCAGTCCCTTTCTTCCTCACCTTGATCCCACCACTGCTCTGTGCCTCTTGACTGTCTGCTTAATGACCTGTCCTCAGCGCAATATTACTTGATTTTCTTTCTTCTCGGGATCAGGCACTCCTTCACATCAGCAACTCTTATTTCTGTAGTTTGGACCTTGTGCTTTAGGCTAAAGCTATACCACCTCTGTAATCTCCGATCCAGAAAAACTACCTCAACCTCTTCCTTCCCCTCTCTGGTTCTGTGACTCCAGGGAAAACTAGTATAAGTTAAGACTTCCAACACCTGGGTATCGTATTAAATGGGAGACTGACGATTCCATCACTTGAGACAAGCAATAGAGAAGTGGGGATAAATAACGAGTGCAGTCTAAGTTCTAGGTGCATGGGAATAGCCATGGGGACATGTCCAGTAGTCTGGGGATCAAGAGAGATCTGAGCCGGATTGGATTTTGGAGTAGTTCAAGGTGTGTTTGTGGGTGAGGTTATGAGATGAAAAGTGGGTAGGAGGGAGAAGAAGAAAGAGCAGTGTAGGAAAGGCCAAAGGGAGAGAACATTTCAAAGAGAGAGGTGTTCAACCATGCCGGATGCTGTAGAGATCTCAAGTAAGACAGGAATTAAACCATAGCCTGCGGATTGGATTACAAGGAGGTAATTGGTGGCCTTCATGACAATTTTACAGAATTCTTATAGGAACAGAAATCATCTGCAGGTTAAGTATGATGCTGGTTGTACAGAAATGGAATTATACACTATACACTTCATTGGTTTTTGCCTCTTTTGTGTGGCAGAGTGTTGTTGAGGTTCATACATTTCATTGCATGTTTCCATAGTCTGTTCCTTTTGATTTGTGAGTAGTATCCACTGCATGAATATAGAAAATTGTTCATTCACCTGCAGGTGAATACTTGAATTGTTTTCAGTTTTTTGCTATTGTGAATAAAGGCGCTATGAACATTTATGCACCAAAAAAAAAAAAAAAAAAAAAAAAAAAAAAAAAAAAGAACTATTTTATAAGTAGAATGCAGAAACTGAATGAAAACTATTCTTAAAAGAAACATAGTATATAACAGGAGGGGAGACCAAGGTAGCTAGATTTAAAAATATGGAAGAGACAAGCTGGTAATTGACAAATATTAGTTAATACTTGCAATCATTTAATCATATGTCACTTAAATATATTGAGGAATGGAGAATGGAGCAGAAAGGCAGCAAATAAGGGTCTCATTTCATTCTGGACGGTAGGAGACAAAGACAACTCAGAGAGATCAACAGCATGGCTGCTTTGTGGTTCTAAATTCTTTTTATCTGCTTGCTACAACTGAAATATGGAGCCACAAAATGGAAAATAATACAGAGTGGGGCTTTCCATGTGGGAGGTATACTTTATCTGTTCCTCCACTACCACATTGGTGGACATGTGAGCATCCTTTGTCCAATAAGACCTTTTCCTAAAACCACTTCATATTTGTATCTGTGATTCATCAATATCATTATATAAAAATAGCCACATCAGTAGTGGTCCAGTGGTCTAATAAATGGATTATTAGAGGTAAGGGGTAAATGTTGGGATCATCAAACATCTTTGAACTCTTAATATGTCTTCATGATCAGAAACACCATCCAGAGGAAACATTGGAAAGACAATGGGATTGTGCTGGGATCCCAATGGGAACAGGAAGCCAGAATGTACATGGGCTCTTGGGCACTGCCCTGGAGTGGAACCGAGGAAGACCCACTGTTTTGCTGTCTGAGAAGAGGCCCTCAAATCACTGGCCTTCCTTGTAGCACCATAAGAAACATCAAGTCTATGCCTAAGATATGTGTCACAATCTCAGAAATTTCAACAAACAAAAAAGGAGATATCTCATGGTCTGAGTTTTGAGTTGACTAGTGCTTGATTATTCTCAGTCTTCTTTCATTTACTTCTTCCCCCCCACCCCATATTATCTCTCACCTTGCTTCATTTGTTTCTAATTTTATAGTAAACATTTTTGCAATGTTCTCTTCACCATGAATAAGTACCATGCAAATTTAGTAAGTGACCAAACAAGTCAGTGAGTCAAGCAAGGTGGTGGAGGGGAGATCATGTGGGGCGACAGGGTGAAAATGAAACAAGGAGTCAAATAATAGAGGGCCTTGAATGCTGTGCCAAGGAAGGTGAATTGTATTCTCAAGGCACTAACATATGACTACAAGTTTAAAAGTATGATATGACCTATCAGAAATTTAAAGAAATAAACCTCGGGGCAGATGTGAAGAATCAGTCAGAAAATCCAAATTACTGGAGCCAGGAGACCAGTTTTAAGATTTGCCAAAAGCCAGGTAGAAGATGGTGAGGCCTGAATTCAATTACTGACTGGGCTCCTGCCCATCCCTTAGGGCACCTTTGTGCAAAGTAGTAAAACGTGTCCCTGGACATGGCTTGGCATGGTTTGGCCTTCTTAGCTGGTGCCTTTGTGCAGTGCATGGCCTAAACCAGCACAGTTGGTGGCCCTGGGCAGCGAGAAAGGAAAATAGAGTTGTGTGTTTGATTATACATCGTGGGGAGGGAGGAGGACTCTAAAACTTGAGAAATCACCTGGGATGCAGTGCTCCCTAGTTGTGATTCAGTTTTCTCCTTACTTTGTTGCAGGTCGAGGAAGAGCAGAACACACACGAGGGAATACTACTTTGGAAACTAAACCACTCAGAACATCGACATCCGATTTTTGACCCGGAAACAAACCTTTCTTTTACTAAATTATTAAATATTTTTATGAAAAAAAATGAAGTCTTTAAGAATAAGGGAAAAGACTTAGATACAACTTTCATAAAAATATAATGAGTTTTGGATCACAAAGGGTAGATGGTACTAGGCTCCAAAATTACATTATTGCCACTTATGAGAGACAGAGATGCAGAGAGACAGAAAGAACATTACCTTTGGACCCTGGTCACCTCGTTGGCCCTTTGGTCCTCGGAGTCCTGGACCACCCTGGCAAACAGATGTTAACTATTAGCACAAAGACAAGTCTTAAAGCAGCATATTTCATCCATTTTCCTCAGTAATATGGATTATGTAATTCTTATTTTGAATAAAGGCCAGCTCATTGTGTAATGGTATATGTTCATTATGATCTTTTACTGAAAACCTGCCAGACTCCCCTCTTCCTGCTGATGATCTCATACTTTGAGAAAGCTTTCAATGCCAAATCCCTTCAAATTAAAAAAACTTACAGTATTTGGAACTTTAGTGTGTAAGACTACTGCTATTAATGGATGCAAATAATAAAGTACACTGCTAATCTAAAATTGCGTGTGTCTTATACCACAACTTTGAGATTCTTCAATTAAATTATAAAAGATATATATACCATACATTATTATATACTATAAAAATAGTAACAATTTAATTTTATTTACACCGTAAAAGGCTAATTAGTGTTACTGAAACTTCAGTTATTTGAATTTCCCTAATATTTTTGCCCTATTAATGTATCATCTGCACAATTACTTAATAGCATTTTCTTTATCTAGATATATATGTACATACATAATATATACATATGTAAGTATGTGTATATGTATTCTTTGTGAACACAGTCTTTGTATATATGTGCATAAATACATATGGGCATTCATACTCTATTTTTCAACTGACTCACTATTTCACTTAAATCTGATCTTAAAAGCAAACATTATACTTCTAAAGTTAAGGGGAAAACGTATTACTTATTAAGAATAGAAGGTAACCTTAAAAATATACTATAAATAATGCTATTAAATTTAGCTAGATTTTGTTCCTATTGAAGTCTGCGAGCCATGGACTTGCTCTGTTAAAAAGGGAGGTGAGTAAGAATACAGAATATCTCTTTCACCTGAGCAGAAGGGTTAAAAGCTCATTAAAAATGGAATAACTTTCTCAGTGTGTGATTCTAATTCATTTCCTGCTACGTATGCGACTACCAGAAAGCGTTTTGTTACCATCAGTGGAACGCTTACAGCACGTGGGGAAAGAATGATCAGGAGACCTTTCAAGGTTTCTCCCAACTTGTTTTCACCACTTAAATTCACTCCCCTCCCCAATAACATCAGGTTGCTTATTTTCCAGACTTTTAAAATACAATTATAAAATTGCATTTTATGTGTACATGTATCTATAGAGAATATTGCCTATAGTATTTTTGTGCTATTACATGATGTATTAGAATTTACATACATGATATCACACTTTTTACATATTTCTCACATATTTTACTTTTACTTACATATTTTAACTTGATGTATTTTGGAGATTTTTCCCATGACATAACATATGATTTAGCTCATTCTGAATGAGTTGCATAGTTTTCCAAACCTTGGATTATATAATTGTTTGTCTAACCATTCTTCTTTATGGGAAATGTAGGGGTTTTTTGCACATTTTTTTTTTTTTTTGCTGTTTAAACAGTTCTATAATTAACATCCCTATACATCCCTTAAATATAAACCTCAATATTTAAGAACAAATGTTAATATTTAGTATATCAACAAGTAGGATTATAAATGAAATGTGCAGATCAGCAGATATATTGTCCAGCTGTGCTCCAAAAGAGCTGTGCTACTTGATTCATCGACCAAGAGTTTAAGAGAGTTCCTGCTTCTCTAAACCTTAGTCACCACTTGATACTGAAGGGGAGTGGGATTTGGTACTTCACAGTATGCCTCTCTGGCATAAGGATTATTTTAGTCTGATTACTTAAGAAACTCAGGAGAAACCCTGAAAACCAAAAACCTAGTAAAAGTTTGATAAGAGACATTTATATTTATGCATTTACATTTCTAAGGGAAATTTCCATCTCTCTTTTTTTTACCAGGAAGGAAGGGATGCCTCTAAATCTCTAGCAACTTACTTACGAAGAAAGCAGAGACTTGGGTCTGCACATCAGCCTCACCCTCATTTGCTATGCCATTCCTGGTAATAATCCCCACCCCCAACACCTTTTTGTGTCTTTAGCTGAAGAGGACATTGAAAGTGATGGCTTCAGCCACACTGGGAGGCTCCTCAGCTTTCCTGGGTATCTCCCATGTATTCAAGAGATATATGTCTTATTAAACTCTTGACTGTTTTTCTCCTGTTCGTCTGTCTTTTTATAACAGGGGTATCTTAGCCAAGAACCCAGAAGGGTAGAGGGAAAATTATTTTTCCTCTCCTGTAATATTGTCAAACTTTACATTTTGACCAAACTAAGGTAAAAATAATATTTTACTCTTATTTGAATTTTCACTTCCCTTGAAACTACTGTCACAGAACATCTTTTCATAACATTTGTCCATTTGCATTTTATCTCAGTGCGACTCCCTATTTATATTCTTTACCTATTATATATACTCTAATGGGCTGAGTGTCTTCTTCTTTTTATTGTGCAGAAATTTTTCATATATTTGGATACCATACCTTTCACTGTTATGAGATGCAAATCTTTTTCCCCAGAGTGGCAGACTGTTGATTGGCTACCAAAGAATCTTTCCTGACTCCCTTCTCCATTTTATTTCTCCTACTGTAAGGGCTTAAGAAGATAGATTTGCTTGCCCAGCCCCCTTTCTGCACCCAAGAATGGGCACATTAAACACTTCGGGCCAATTTGATGAAGAGGCCACAGGCCTATCGAAAGGAAACTGGGGAGCTGGGACAAGCTTGCGTCCTTGATGAATTTGTTGAGCAGCCACATTTGCTTTGGGATCATCCACCTCTACAGCTTTTGCTGTGAGAACGATAAATGTCTCAATGTCCCAATGGTTTACACCACTGTGTCAGTCATATCGTATGTTCCTTGCAGCAAGCCCAATGCACCCCAATTAATATACCATTCTGGCACCACTCTTCTTGTCTGCGCATTTTCAATGATTGGTTTTTAACTACAGGTTTTGTTCCAGTGACTCATGGATATTCACACCAAAGGCACCACGTCTAAAAGCCTAGAAACCTTTTATATTTCTTTTCTTTTTAAAAAAATTTTTTAATGTTTATTTATTTTTTGAGAGAGAGAGAGAGATAGAGCACAAGCAGGGGAGGGGCAGAGAGAGAGGGAGACACAGAATCCGAAGCAGGCTCCAGGCTCTGACCTGTCAGCACAGAGCCTGACGTGGGGGTCGGACCCACAAACCATAAGATCATGACCTGAGCTGAAGTCTGGCGCTTAATCAACTGAGCCACCCTGGCGCCCCAAACCTTTTTATATTTTGAACTTACTTTGTACCTTATCCCTAACCTTCATCACTGAGCACATAAGAATTCAACATATTTTTTTGGATGTTAACTTCTATCCTTTTAATAAAAAAGGTTATTAGTCTAGGCCAAGGAAATGTGGTTCTTTCACCCATGCCTTCTTGTAGCTCTCTTATAGCTTTCCTGGCACAAAACACCATTGTGGAAATTCTTGAATGAGAAAATAATCACAACTATGTTAAATCATTAGATGGGCTTATTGCACATTGTTTGGGATACTATCTCTTGAATAGTTTATAAGTTATATTATAAACTATAAAAGTATAGTTTATTATACTTTAAACATTCAAATATTTCAATAGTTTTTCTCCTAATTTACATCTTTCTCTCCAAGTCAGAACTCAACTCTTCCCTTTTGCTTCTCTGCTGCTTTTTTCTCATTACAAAGTTTGACTCTAAGTCATATGTAAATATTTTATAACTTGTTCCAGCAGTATCACAGATGAAAAAAATGTGAAAACCCTCCAGCTAAAAAAGCTTATTAATGCTGCTTAAAATAAAATAAACATTATTATAATTAAGAACTGAATGCATAAGCACTAGGAATGAAGAAGAAACAAACAAACAAACAAAAACAGAGAAGCAGACATGTGCACGGAGATCGCCCTGGGGGAGCATGGGGAAAATGGTTCAGGTTTGCTGCAAAGTTTGTATTTTAAAGCTCACACAAAGCACAGAAATGTGAACTAGGGCCAAAGATAAGTGGGGGCAGGGTGGAAAATTAAATGTTCTTTAAAGCTGAGGAACTTGTAAGGCTGCACTGTGAATCAGCTAGGAAAAAAACCCAAAAAACTAGCAGGTGGATGAGAAAGATGTTGTTTCCAATTTAGCTATGGGAGGAGTAAGAAACATTTCTACTAAAGAATATTACACAGAAGCTGATTCTCATACAATCTAGAGACAGAATTCATATTGCCTGTCAGGATCTAACAAAACTCCAATATACACCCCCCACCCCCAAAAAATTCACAAAATACATGTGAAAACAAGATAACATGAATAACATCAGCAGAAAAAAAATGGCAGAATCAGAACCACATACAATGCAGATATTGAAATGATCAGATTAAAAAAATAAACTGTATTTAAAATACTGAAAGAAAAAAATAGTTTTGATGTGTTACAAAAGAAGAAATACTACAGAAATGCCCACAAGATTTGAAGAAAACATGAATAGGCATTTTTCCAAAGAAGACACAGACGGCTGAAAGACACATGAAAAGATGCTAAACATCACTCATCATCATGGAAATACAAATCAAAACCACAATAAGATACCACCTCACACCTGTCAGAATGGCTAAAATTAACAACTCAGAAAACAACAGATGTTGGCAGGGAGGCAGAGAAAGGGGAACCCTCTTACATTGTTAGTGGGAACACAAACTGGTGCAGCCATTCTGGAAAACAGTATGGAGGTTCCTCAAAAAGTTAAAAATAGAACTACTCTACAACCCAGCAATTGCACTACTAGATATTTACCCAAAGGATACAAAAATACAGATTCAAAGGAGTACATGCACCACAATGTTTATAGCAGCATTATAAAAATAGCCAAACTATAGAAAGAGCCCAAGTGTCCATCAACTGATGAATAAAGATAATACACACACACACACACACACACACACACACACACACACACACAATGGAATATTGCTCAGTCATGAAAAAATGAAATCTTGCCATTTGCAACAATGCTGATAGAGTTAGAGTGTATTATGCTA